AGACCCCCGGGATCTGCCCGGGCTTGTGGTGCCTTTTGACATTCTTTAATTATTTCCCCCACCCCACCTGCTTTGGAAAATGAGATGGGGACAGACAGCAGTGCTCCCCTGACACTCCTCACCCTCTCTTTTTTTGCTGGAGGAACCCCCCTGGCTCCCAGTCCCCGACCCACGAGGGTGCCCAGCCGCACCCCGAAACCCAGGCGTGCTGCCCGGCCGCTCCAGCGCAGGACTTTTGGGGCTTGCTCCCCCTTTCCTCACGTGGCGCTGGGAATTTCTGGTGGGAGCTGGGCTTGATGCGGGGTGCTGAGAATCATGGCTGTTAGGTGAGGAAATAGGAAAGGGCACTTGGCAGTGCTTGCCTTACAGAATTTGCTAAAAATACCATATCCACAAAAATAAATGCTGGGCACTTACTCTCCCCCTAAAGCCCCCTCCCCTTTTTTTTTTCCTGCCCTGCTGTCCTGTCCGCTTGTCTAACCTGCTTTCTCTCGCTGCCTTTAGAGCATACCACTGGATGATAAACCAGATCAAGTGTCTTGGACTGAAATGGGACAGGGTACCAATGAAGGAAAGTGAAGAAGAGAGCTGGAAGCAGCTTGGTTTTCTCCAAGCCCGTGGAGGCTGCTGAGCAAAGAGCCCTGAGCTTTGCCTGAGATGCGTTTAAAGAAAAACCAAAGACTTTCGTAAAGGACTTCTAGTGAAGCGGCCACGTGTTTTGAGTGGCACAGCTTTGCGAGTGATTATCTTTCTATTTATGAGACGCAAGGAAGATTCAACACTGACTGGTGGTGTTAAACACAATTTAAATTATTTGTAGTATCTATATTTGTATTTATTTTGATGACTGTCTTTCAGCAGTTACTGGTCTTAATATTGCTTTTGCATTAATATGTCCATTCCAAATAAATTACTTGAAATGTTCACTTTTTATTACTATACTCTGGGCTGCAGTAACTTTTTTTGATGCGTGTTTGTGGAGCAGGCAGTCGTATAGTGGCTTAAAAAGAGTGGGTAAGCTCTGCTTTTTGGTGCCCTGGACTGGGCAGTGGGAGGTGGAGAAAGCTCAGATAACCCATTTGTGTTTGACCTTGTCTCCCGACCAGGGAGGAAAGGTGCGGTGAGGTCCAATTCTGGTCAGTGGTGGAAATGGAAAAGCCTACCACAACTTGGAGAAGTGCTGCTTTTGAAGCACTTTTCCATGTAATGGTGGCTATGGAAGGCACAAGAGCTCCTGCACAAAACCCGCTGCTGTCTGTCCTTCCCCCTGCCCCCAGAGCTTAGTGCTGCGCTAAGGCAGAAAACTGGAGTCTTGATTTCAGAGTAAAGCAGTGCCGACGGGATTCCTCAGCTTTGCAACAAAGCAAGCTGAACTCCTCGCTCTCTCCTCTTCCTCCACCTCTGCAGTCTCTAGATTGAGTTAAAGTTCTACAGGATCACTGGGAAGAATGGAGACGGTCTTTTTCTGATAGCACCCGGACCAAGAAGCTTGGAGACAAAAAGGAGGTTTTTTTTTAATTTTTTTTTTTTATTTATTTTTTTGGATAAAACTACTGACTTTTATCTTGGGAGGCTCAATTAGCACTACCCTGGGCTTCCTTGAGAGCAATGCTGCAGCACATGAGTCAGCTCCAGCAGTCAGGACTACAAGCTTAGCAGGCAAAGTACTTGCTATTAATGCTGTAAACTTGGTCATTTCAATTGGGTAATTTCCCTCTCCCAGTATCAGTTCAAGTCTTGCAGGAGACTTTGTACTACAGGAAGTTGCAAACCATGTAATTATGAGCAGCCTGTAGTAAAAGCAATAGAGACTAAGTACAGGGGAAAAAAAAACCCCAAAACCTGGTAGCAAGGCTGGCCGCCCTTTCTGGAAGCAGCAGGGAGACTCGGGCACTGCAGCGTGCGACCTCGGAGCTTTGCATCCTCCTTGCACGCTGCTGCCCGCTGGGCTTGTGCAAAGGCAGGGCTGCACATGGTTGAGCTGTGGGTGTAGTAAACCCTTGGCCATGGCATCTGAAAGCCTTTGGCCTCAATTCCCCTCTAGCACAAGAACGCCAGAGATGCATTTAATGCAGCAAAAGCACACTCAGAAGTGTTTTACCTCGATTTCCCTCGGTACCATTGCAGGGGAGTGAAATAAAAGGCCAAAGCAGAGCAGAGGCACTGGCCCCTAA